TGTACAAATTAAAATTCTATTTTGTTAAAATTATATTATAATTTGATCAATTTTCTTTTTATATTATTTATATTTTTATTGGACCAATAATTTAAGACTTATAAATTTTGACTCTCTTATATATAATTTAGATAACTGATCAATTATAGTAAACTTAATAAAATATAATCTATTTTTATAAATCTTCTATGTATATTTAATATTTTCAAATTAAATTGATCACTATTTGTATTTTTAAAATATTGATACTTTTACTATTGTAGTTTTTACGGGTGGTTATATATGTAAATACAATCATATAAAAATAATATTAAAATTGATTATAAAGGTTTATAAATAAATATTATTGTTATTCAAATATATTATATACATAAAAATAATTAAATTATTTTAATCTTAGATAATTTTGAAATTAATAAAATTATTTATAAATTTCTTATCTTGGTGCAGGTTATTACTTTGTAGAGATTATAAACTAAACAATACACAGTACATATAAAAAAACTGCATGTCCATTCGACCCTTCTTAAATTGTGTCCATGACCTTTTAGTTTAGTATAATCGATCTAGAAGATATCAGCGATACATGAAAATTTTATATTTGTTCCGCGGATGTTAGTAGATTTAAGGATCATTTCATGAACTTCATTTAACTATGTACCGTAATTTAAATTATACAAAAAATCTCTAAATTTTAAATAGAAATTATTTTTGACAGCTATTTATTTATACTAGGAAGATATATATGAATCGTTGTAAAAAAGTAATAATGTTAAAAGAAAAACATCTCATTATGTTGATATTCGAATATATATCATTGAGCATTTAATTTTTTTCTAAGAGTTTATTTAAAATGCCATGTAAATGTTGAACTATTAAATTTTAGCCATTTTAAGCTTCATCTTTCATATGATCTATTTAAATAACAAATTTTTTTGTTGATCAATTTCAAAATCAACGTACTTATATTAACTATTTTAGGCACGACGTTAACATCATTATCAGATTAACTAAACATCGTTTGGTCAACGTCTGTTAGTAAAGTCAATGTCGTGCCTAATATGACCAGTCAATATAAGTTTGTGATTTAAAAAATAACCAATATAAAAATTTATAATTTAAATAGTTCACGCAAAACTTAGTGTTTATAATAGCCGAAATTTAAAAAATTAGCACTTAAATTGTACTTTTTTACTAAACAGTAACTTCTATTTCTAATTGAAAGAACATCTCAAACTTAAGATTTTGCAATGTGGAAAATTAAGAATCTTAAAGTTTTTGAAGTTTGTAATTAGCAATAAAACTAATGAAAAAATATTTTAAATTTAAGCTCTAACTGGTACCAAGAGAATAAGGAGGAATAATGAATTCTTCTTCATTCCTTAAATTTTTTACCATTCATTAGTATTATTTGTTCCATGTTATTCTTTCTCAATCCCTATGTTTTAAGGAATTATAGAACAAAAATATTATTTATAAAATGTGGAGAGGAACACAAATTTTTTATATATATATATTTTATTCCTATTCATTTCTTTTATTTTATTTTTTTATTATTTTTTTTTATTCTTTTTTTTATTTGTCATTAGTTAGAACCTTAATAACCTCAATATAACACAAGATTTACTTAATAATGTGATTTTCTAAAAGATGATTAGCTAACTACAATTCTTTTCCACAACCTAAAACTCGAATTTTTCAGTAAAATTGTAACCATAAATGTTAAATAATCATTATTTTATGAATTTTTTATTTAATAATTTCTTATTCTGATAACGTTGAAGTAGAACAACTTTTTTTTAAGTTTGGCATTTTTGAAAAAAAAAGGAGAAAAAAAAATATGAAATGTACACACTTCACATCCAATTACTATTTTTTTTTACTCATCGGAAAAATTCGCCACGGATCTAAAATTTGATATACGGAAGGGGTTGGGCCTGCGACCCAATTAGCGTCGCGTTAATTAACGAGGGTATTGTTAAAACGGAAAAAAGAGAAAAAAATACAGTAACAGAGTCGCATTAAACAACATAAGTTACCAAAAAAATAAGAAAAGGGTTTTTCATATTTCTTTCTGCTTCGTCGTTGAGCTGTGGTGTTGATTTTGAGAAAATGGAGGCGGAGAAGATGGAATTGAAGCTCTACAACACGATGACGCAACAGAAGGAAGTTTTGATTCCGATCAATCCCGGAAAAATCGGATTGTACGTCTGTGGAATCACCGCTTACGATTTCAGTCACATCGGCCACGCTCGGGCCGCCGTTTCCTTTGACGTTCTCTACAGGTCTCTTCCTTCTCTAAGAAATTTTGTAATTAGGGTTTTTTGGGTTAAAGGAATCTCTTAGATCGATTAGATTAAACCCGATCTCATTGATTTAGATTTGAAGATAAGAATTTTTTGCATATGGGTTTAGATTTTTTTTTTTCTTTCTCTAGTTCGATACTTCGATCAACGAATGTTGTTCGACTTGACATTTTATTCTATCTCTACTTCTATTGGTTGTGCAGATACTTACTCCATTTGGGTTATGAAGTTAATTTTGTGAGGAATTTCACAGATGTTGATGACAAGGTATGACCTTTATGAATCTGACACAGCTCACAACTTCACTGAACATTCTGGATTTAACAAGAATCTTCTTGTTTATTATGCAAGTTTGATTTGCCAGAGGTTCGTAGTGAATGCTGGTCTAACTAAATGGAAGCTAATGATCTCTGCAGATAATCAAACGTGCTAATGAAAATGGAGAGAACCCATTGGAGTTGAGTAATCGATTTTGCGAGGAGTATTTGGTGGATATGGGTGCTCTTCAGTGCCTCCTTCCCACACACCAGCCTCGTGTGAGCGACCACATGGATCACATCGTAAAGATGATTGAAAAGGTATAAGAGATCTCACATTCTTCTTCTCTTTCTTGTTTGATCTGCTTAAAACGCTGTGTGTGATGACAACATGAAGTTGGACTTATCAGTGATGTGTATGATCTATATGCTTACCTGTTACAGATCATTGAGAAAGACTGTGGGTATGTAGTGGAAGGCGATGTGTTCTTTTCTGTGGACAAATCACCAAACTACGGGAAATTATCAGGGCAAATGCTGGAACATACACGAGCTGGTGAGCGTGTTGCTGTTGATTCGAGAAAGCGTAACCCTGCTGATTTTGCATTGTGGAAGGTTTGATATTCAAAAACCTTTTCAAGTTTTATCTCTGTGTAAGCAAATTGGAGTTTAAAACATAAAATTTTATGCAGGCTGCAAAACCTGATGAGCCGAGCTGGGAGAGCCCTTGGGGACGAGGAAGACCAGGATGGCACATCGAGTGCAGTGCGATGAGCGAACATTACCTGTCTCCGAGATTCGACATTCATGGTGGTGGTGCTGATTTAAAATTCCCGCATCATGAAAACGAAATTGCTCAGACAAGTGCTGCATGCGAAGGCGGTGGTGTGAATTACTGGTTGCATAATGGACACGTCACTATCAATAACGAGAAGATGGCAAAGTCAAAGAAAAACTTTAAAACAATCAGAGAAGTATTTTTTCTTACTTGTTCCAGATTTGGGTGTCTTTCCCATGGCTAAATGCAGATTTGTTGACAGATTTTGATATTCTTTTTGGTGTTTAAATATCTGTAGATCACAGCTAGTTACCATCCATTGGCTCTGAGGCACTTCTTGATGAGTGCACAGTACCGGTCTCCTCTGAGTTTCTCGGAGTCGCAGCTAGACAGTTCGTCAGAAGGTTTATACTACGTTTATCAGGTGCAGTGCTTCAGAATCTGTTTTCAAAATTACTCAACAGTTTGATTACAATGGTTTGAGTGTGACAAAGTGGTGGTAGTATTCACTAGTCAGTTCTGACTTTACCCTCTGATCTTTGTTTATTAGACATTGCAAGATCTTGATGAAGCTCTGTTGCCATATCGAGAAGCAATGGCGGAAGATGGTGGAAAAGCTGAACAGACTGCAGAAGCCAAAGACATCATTAACAAGCTGAAAAGTGAGTTTGAAGCAAAGATGTTAGACGATTTGAATACCGCTCATATACTTACTGGTGCTTACCAAGATGCATTAAAATTCATCAACGCTTCTCTCGGCAAGCTCAAGGTTTCTGCCTTTTTCTCTTCTTCTTCTTTTCTTTTGTACCTCTTTTGCATATACCAAACTTGTCTGTCTTTTCAAATTTTCAGAAAATGCAAAAGAAGCAACGGATGTCGCTGCTTGTGTCACTCGTTGAGATTGAGAAAGCAGCTAGAGAAGTTCTTGATGTACTTGGTTTGCTCACTGCCCTGAGCTATGCCGAGATTTTGAAAGAGATGAAACAAAAAACACTGATAAGAGCAGGATTGAGCGAAGAAGTGATCTCGCAGAAAATAGAGGAAAGGATAATGGCGAGGAAGAATAAAGAGTTTGAGAAAAGTGATCAGATTAGAGCAGAATTAACACTTCAGGGAATAGCATTAATGGATATTGGCAAAGAAACTGTGTGGAGGCCATGCTTCCCTTCTCAAGCTAATTCCAGCGATTGAGCTAAAGAACAGAGAGTAATGAAGATAAGTCAACACTTTCTTCATTTCTCTGATTCTTCTTCTTCTTTAGCCTTTGTTTGAGACTCTTTCTTTTATAACTCGGTTTCTGAGAGTTGTGCCAATGACTCCTAATAGACACTTGCTGTTGTTTTGGTTTGTATCTTAACAATTATATCAATTGTAACAATATATTTCACTTTAGATATTGCTTGACAGCCGAATATGATCTCAATTAGAATCACATTGGACATTTTTCATTGAAAGCACAGTCAATCTCTGTATTGTCGAGTTTTGGTACATGAACTTTCATTTCAGCTAGAAAAACAATGATCTCTCTCTAAGTCTATATACAAAAATGATCTCTCTCTAGGCTATGTAGTATATACAGAGACACGTATCACCAACCAATAACTCTTCTTCACATTAGGTTTCACATAAGAGTGAGACAAGAAAACAAAATCACCCTTTTCATATCGGAAACGTGGACATGTTCTTCTTCAACAAGGCGTAGGCGTCACTGTAAATGGCGATTGCATTGGAGAAAACCGCAAGAACGATCATGAAAATGGCTACAGTCTTGTCCCTGTTCGTTGCTCTGCTATGACGATCCCTGAAAGAACACAAGAGAAACAACACTCAGATAATGAATCCAATAGCCAATAGTTTTCCAAAAACCAAATCTCATATGAAGCAATAAATCTTACTTCAAGACAACAGCAGCAGGGAATATGAAGCCGAGGCAGACAGAAGTGGTTGCTCCAGTGAATTGAAAAGCATCCCAAATGCTTGGAATGAAGTTTGCACAAACAAAGATTACAGCAATGAGACCGGCAGTGATAGAGCCAAACCTCAGGTTAGAGGAAGTAAGTGACGGAGCCGTGGGGAACAAGAGACCGTCGATGTTAACCCGCAAAGGATAGAAGACAATGGGGAACACAAGCATGAGATGAGCCGCGTAGCTGAATCTGACCGCATCGTTTAGCTCCGGACCAAAAGGAATCCCAAGATCGGTGTCAAAGTTCGCAAGAACATCGTCAAGAGTTGATTCACCGAACAAGAGGTATCCGAATAAGCTTGTCATTATGTAAACAGAAGAGCACATGGTAAGAGCTGATCGAACAACGGGTTTGATCTGAGTAGCGTCTTCAAGCTCGTTCTGTATGTTGTGAACTGAAACAACCAAGTTCCTGTTTTGATTCTTCAAAATGTAAAGCTAGCAAAAGAGAATCTGTTTGTGTATGTACCGTTGTAGTGACAAATGTATGCGTTGACAAGCACTGGAACAACAGTGAAGAGCTTCCAAAACGAGGCCAAGTCAGTGACATTTGGTAGAAGCTTTGGCATCATCAAACCATCACTGAACAGCTTCAGGACGACGATTCCCGCAGTGATGACAAGAAAAACAACCGCTAAAGCAACTGATATAGCAGATGTGAATCTCAAAGAATCTGCAGTGAATCATAAACGCTTAAAATTACATACTCGAAGAGTCACACATTCACAATGAAAAGAAGATGAGAGACATAATAATACTAACCAATCCGTTTGAAGCATGTCAATGGAGCAAACACAGAGAGAGTAGTAACGAGAAGAACAAAAGTTCTTCTGTTCCACCATTTTTCACCAAACCATCCTTCAAGCATACCAGGATGGTGGATTCCATATACATTCTTCCCAGCCAAAACATCACCTTTCAAGTCGAACAAACACCAAAGTTATAAAACTATCAAGATCCATGCCTAAAGGGTCAAATCTAAAGAGCAAAAGCTACAACACTATCTTAGATTCAATCAAAGATGAGATGTGTACCAATGATGATCATGTAAACGATCAAAACGCCGATGTTGCTCACCAAAACAGCGACTTGCAACATAACCCTTCCGGGTTTACCAAAAGAATCTTCCATTAAGCCTCCGTAAGATCTTTTCTTCCCGATTCTACTGAACCTGAGCAAGAACTCGACCGTCGCGTCGGTCAAGAAAGCCATGAGAACGATCAACGCGATTCCGGGAACAAGTCCGAGGATCTTCATCGTCGCGGGCAAAGCCATGATACCGGCACCGATGATCGTCGTGGCGAGATTGAAAACCGCTCCGCTGAAAGAAGCTCCGTTGAATTCGTCGTGAGCAGTCTCGTCTCTCTCTGATTCCGTCAATAGTCGAGCGGTAAGATCATCGGAGGAGATTATTTGAATTTCGTTCTGGGTTTCACCTTCAATCGCCATTGTTCCGTTGACTCTGAGTATCTGCGATTCTCTGAGAATTATCAGAAAGATTAGCGATGATCCAAAGACTAATTCAGCAGCACCGAAATTGGATACAAAGAAGAATTTATGGATTCAACTGATTACAGAAGTAGAAATCGGAAACCTACTTTGCAGGATTGGATTGTTTCTCGAGATTCAGTTGAAATGTGTTTGGGATATGATTAATTTAACCCAGAAAACTTGACGCACGAGAGAGAAGAAGGGGTTTGTTTGTAAGATCTATAAACCCTACCTTTAATAAGCGATTCCCGAAACAATGGAGATGATTCAAAAGATTTGAGAATCGATTTCTGAGATGAAGACTTTATTGGAGGGAGAAACAAAAGCAGAGAATGAGGGGTGAAGGAGAGAGGGAAATTATAGTTTCGTGATTGTTGGCGCTGAAGCAATTAAAAATTTAAAAGGCATTTTGCACGGAAATCTATTTTTTTATGTTTTTTCTTTCTTCATTATTTTTCAACATTTTTCTGGTGTTTTAAAAAGATTTTTTAATCTCAGATACCATTTTCGCTGTCCCTATAAAAAAACTTTTGTTAAACAAACTGTGATTTTAAACAAAGAGTAAATTTGGCACGAAATGATAATAGAGAGAATGATAAATTCAAAAATTATCATTAGTAATCGACAAAAGTGGCTAAGATTGTGAATTATTTTTAAAATGGCTAAGATTGTGAATTATTTGTTAAAAATATATAAATAGATTAAATATAACGTAAACACAAAATAAGAATGCGAGCCTTATTTTTTGCTTTGATTTTTTGCTCCAACATTCTTCGGATCCGGTTCTCAAATGCCTGCAATATACAATCAAAAACATTTTTTTTATCAATTACTAGATAGATAATCTCTTATTTTTGTTGGTGCTGGGCCTAGTCAAGGCCCATTTAATCAGCTCGGCTCAAGGAGAAGAAGCAATTTTCGACCAGATTCAAGGCTATAGCCCAGCAGAATCAAATCGGCCCAAATACGTAAAAAAGGCTGGACGAGGCCCATTCTTCCAAAAAATCCACGAAGCCCATCAAAGTTACCGTCCTAATTCTTTATAAATAGGATCGTACTCTGTACGAAAAATACATTCTTGACTCCGGATTTTACGGAATTAAGCTTTAATTGCGCTTTGTAATAGCTACTCCTTTTTTGGAGGCCGGCTTTCATATTATAGCTTTTCGTTTGGGATCCCTGTTTTTGGGAACCCTCTTTTCAGTACTTTGGTCGGTCTTGTTCTGTATTCTGTCGATTCTCGTTATCAATAAATACGAATTACCCAAGGTTGAATCTAAGGTTCACCAGTTGGCGCTCCAGGGAGGGGGAACTACGTTTTAAGTGATAACACGAATTAGACGATGACAGAATAGACTCCGTCCGCCAGCGGTCCACCCGTGCCGACCTCTTCAGCGTCGCCCATGCTGACCTCCTTAGCGTCGCTCCCGCCAACCTCCTCTGTGTCACCTGCGACTACTTCCACCACGTCGCCCTTGCCGACCTCATCGTTGTCACTCTTGCCGACTCCGTCCACAACACTTGCGTCGACTTCCGTGACACTTCCCATGCCGACCCCTCTGGTGTTGGGAGAACACAATTCAACGGTATCCATAGGAGAATCATCCGCGCGGCCGACATCGATGGCTTCCGCCTACCGCACGTACACTCCACCTACCGGACCGGTCTTTCTAACCACGTCAACAAAATCGGTTCCTGCGACGAGACCTTCCTTCGCCACAGCAAACGCCCCAAGCCCAACGACGCCTCTCGGAAGTCTCCCGGCACAGTTCGACGTGTCAGGCCTACTCCAAATGCTCATCGCCCAAATGACCGAAAGCACACGCGGAATGAACGAGAGACTTGACGAGCTGGCTACGGTGCAACACGTTTGCCACAACAGGATCGACGAGCTCCAAAATCGAGGCAACGAACAGGCGCCGGCCGCAACTGCTTTCGCTCCGCGGTTACAACGAGCATTATTTGGAGACTTGGACACTAATTCAAGCGAGCAGGCCGATCGGCTCTCGACGATCAGCCATGAACGAGCAAATCAAAGACGTTCGAGAAACAGTAGCGTCCGAGCCCTGGAGCAGCCGAGTCCGCAGGAGGCCGCCATCAGCAACCTCAATCGCCGAGATTAACGACTGGACAGCGAACTCGAAGTGCGAAAAGCTCAAGTGCAACGAATGAGCTCCCAGGTTCATCAAGCAACGAGCTCGGCCCCAGAACTCGACCGCGTGCTAAAGGAAGGCCAGAACACCCCGTTCACGAAAACCATAACCGACTCACCAGCTCGTCACCCGGGAAAAGTTAAAGTAACACCATACGACGGAACGACGGATCCCACAACTTTCATACAGTCCTTAACAGTTGCCATGGGACGAACTCAATTCCAACCGCACGAACGCGACGCAGGCTACTGCCAGCTGTTTGTCGAGAACTTGACCGGCGCCGTCCTAAGCTGGTTCTCCCGACTGGAAGCTAACTCAATAGACAGCTACGAAGATTTGTCAATGGCATTTTTCCGACATTATTCGATGTATATCGAACACGGAGCCCGTGAATCCGACCTTTACACGCTCCGCCAAGGCTCGAAAGAATCGCTGCGATCGTACATAGGCAAATTTAAGAATATTGTTTTCAGACTGGTTGTGTCCGACAACGTAGCTCTCCCTGCGTTCTGAAACGGACTTTGGTTCGAATCTAGCTTCTACGAAGAATTGAAAAGGAACAGACTGAGCACCCTAGAGGACGCACTTCACCGCGCGACAATTATCATCGAGATCGAAGAAGAAAGGACCGAGAAGACTAAAAAGTATGCTGCCCAAAAAGTGCCGACCCCGAAGGAAAAACCGAAAGAAGAGTACTATGAGCCCCGAAAACATTACGACAGCAGTTACAACCCCAACAAGAATAACCAAGCTTCCACTTTTGCCCTCACTGGTGCGCAAACCAACTCGCAGCGTCCCGACAGGTGGAACAAGTACATCCGCGGCCAAAACGATTCGTCAGGAGGAACTAAATCATACTGCAACTTCCACAAGATATTCGGACATGCCACCGAAGAATGCTGAGCACTACAAGACACCCTGCTGACAGGATTTAAGAATGACCTCAAGGAATCCAGGAGTGGCACTTCCCAGCAGCCCACCGATCAAAACAATACTGCTCAGCCAAAAAACAAAGGCGAATGTTTCCGACTCGCCCAGGTGGAGGCCAAGCAGCAGCCGACTGGTGCAAGAACGAGTCAGCAGGTCGGTCCTATTGATTCAGACATGGAGCCACCGAAGTGCGGGCGAGACGACCAGGAAAAGGGAAACGGCCAAGGCCCTCTGAGGTGAAGAAAATTAACATGATCATGGGAGGCATCCCGTCATGCAGGGATTCAGTATGATCAATCAAGGACTACGAAAGAAAATCTACCGCGGTCCAGCTTTGGAGACGCAACCCCGACGACGAACTCAAGATCGGCGCCAACATATCCTTTGATGAAACCGATATTGATAGACTCCACACACCGCACAACGACCCCCTAGTCATCGAACTCAGAATCGGAGATTATGAAGTATTGAGGGTCCTGATCAACACCGGGAGCACCATGGATTTAATGTTTAAGGAGACGTTACAACGAATGGAGATGCAAAACTATAAATTCACGGCTTGCGTAAGGCCATTAACCGGATTTGGCGGGGACGAAACTATGACCATCAGAACTGTTAAGCTCCCTGTATGCGTCGGAAGAATCACCAAGATAGTTAAGTTTGTGGTCATCGACAAACCGGCGATTTACAACGTAATCCTGGGGACACCTTGGCTACATGAAATGAAGGCGGTACCATCCACTTTTCACTAATGCCTCAAGTTCCCAACATCGGATGGCATCTTCACGGTCCGTGGAAACCAGCGTTTAGCAAGAACGTGCTTTATCACCGAGCATAAGCTCAGAAAGGCGGCTCAAACATGCCTCGTCGTGACGAACGTCCACAACGAACTCCCACCTCTCGACGATCAGCAACGAGAAAATCTTACGCAGGTTAACATCGACCCACAAGATCCTGAGCGGTGCGTCGGCATCGGGACGGAGATAAGTGACGACCTGCGCGATCGGCTTGTTGAATTTCTTCGTCAAAATGTCTCAACTTTCGCTTGGACCGCTGAAGATATGAAAGGAGTTCCACCGTCTCTCGTTCAGCACGAGTTACAAGTCGAAGCGACGCAAGCTTGGTCCGAAAAGGGCGCAAGCAGTTAACGACGAAGTAGAGCGATTGTCTAAGGCAGGGTCTATCATGGAAGTCCGATACTCAGAGTGGTTGGCCAACCCAGTGGTCGTCAAAAAGAAGAACGGAAAATGGAGGATCTGCGTTGACTTTACCGACCTCAACAAGGTTTGCCCCAAAGATAGTTTTCCTCTTCCCCATATAGACCGGCTCGTAGAGGCAACAGCCGGGAATGAGCTCTTGTCGTTTATGAAAGCTTTTTCAGGATACAATCAAATTTTGATGCATCCCGACGACCGGGAGAAAACTTCTTTTATCATAGAACGCGAGACGTATTGCGATAAGGTCATGCCATTCGGTTTAAAAAACGCCGGCGCCACCTACCAACGCCTCGTCAACCGAATGTTCGCCGAGCAACTAGGAGATACTATGGAAGTATATATCAACGATATGCTTGTCAAATCGGCCAACGCCGACGACCATATTGACTACCTCGCACGATGTTTCAAAAGCCTCAACGAGTACGACATGAAGTTAAACCCGGCCAAGTGCACCTTCGCCGTCAGATCGGGAGAATTTCTAGGCTACCTCGTCACCAAACGGGGAATCGAGGCTAACCCCAAGAAAATCGCCGCACTGCTCGAATTCCCTTCCCCGAAGAACACAAGAGAAGTACAGCGCCTGATGGGCAGAATCGCAGCTTTTACCAGATTTATCGACCGATCAACAGACACATGCCTACCTTTCTATCAACTCCTGCGAGGAAACAAAAAGTTTGAATGGGATGATAAATGCAAAGCAGCTTTCCAACAACTCAAGGAATACCTATCAACTCTGCCTGTGCTGGCAAAACCCGAATTTGGCGAAACCTTATACCTCTACGTCGCTGTCTCTCATTCCGCGGTCAGTGGAGTCTTAGTCAAAGAAGATCGCGGCGAACAGAAGCCGATTTTCTACGTCTGCAAGTCATTCGATGATCCCGAAACAAGGTATCCAACTCTGGAGAAGTTAGCCTTGGCAGTAGTCACCGCAGCCAGAAAGCTGCGACCGTATTTTCAATCCCACTCTATCACCGTCTTGTCGAATCACCCTTTACGAACAATTCTACACAGTCCAAGCCAATCCGGCCGAATGGCCAAGTGGGCCGTCGAATTAAGCGAGTACGACATCGACTACAAGAACAGAACGTGCGCCAAATCCCAAGTCCTTGCCGACTTCTTAATCGAGCTCCCACCAGGAGTCACTGGTGAAGACCTCCCAACTAAGGAGATATGGTCCTTGTACGTCGATGGCTCGTCAGCTCGCAATGGGTCAGGAGTCAGAGTCAGACTTATATCTCCAACGGGGGAAATCCTTGAGCAATCTTTCTGACTCGAGTTCGTGGCATCCAATAACGAAGCAGAATATGAAGCACTCATCGCCGGCTTGCGCCTGGCTAAAGCGATAAGGGCGAGCCAAATTCAAGCATTTTGCGACTTGCAACTCGTAGCAAGCCAATTCAACGGAGAATACGAGGCGAAGAATGAACGCATGGACGCCTATCTCAAAGTCGTCCAAAATCTCGCTAAAGACTTTGGTGCCTTTACGCTAACCAAAATTCCGCAAAGCGACAACTCACCGGCCGACGCTCTTGCCGCACTCACTTCCACTTCTGATCCAGACCTGCAGCGACTCATTCCCGTCGAAAGCATACCCAAACCAAGTATAGAACTGGCGAAAGGGGGTCTCGACGATGCAGACGAAAGCAGCTGCGAACCAATGGACGACCTCATTTCAGAACCAAGCGTGGAACAAACCGAAGGAGTATACGCCATCACAGAACTGAAAGAAGGTCTTGACGATGCCGACGAAACCAACTGCGAGCCGATGGACAGGGCCGGAGAGCCCATCGAGCTTGATCGGAGGGAGGAGATAATAGCGCACCTATCCGACAGAGAAGTTCCACATGAGAAATGGGCAGCCCGGCGTCTCAAAGCACGATCAGCCCATTACACTCTTCTCGATGACAATCTCTGCCGTTGGAGTACATCGCGAGTCCTTCTGCACTGCGTCCCCACCAGCGAAATCCAAGGCGTCATGGAAGAAACGCACGAAGGAGCAGGGGGCAACCACTCCAGAGGCCGAGCACTAGCACTAAAAATGAAGAAGCACAGACTATTTTGGCCGACCCTGATCACTGATTGCGAAAAATTCACTGCTCGCTGTGAAAAGTGCCAGCGACACTCTCCGACGATCCGCGTACCATCAGAATTGTTGACGGCGTCCACAGCCCCTTATCTTTTCATGCGCTGGGCGATGGATATTATCGGACCACTCCCAAGATCGCGACAGAAGAGGTTCGTGCTGGTGATGACAAACTACTTCACAATATGGGTCGAAGCAGAAGCATACGCTAAAATTCTAACCGCCGACGTCCAGAAGTTCGTCTGGAAATTCATTATCTGCAGGCACGGCCTCCCGTACGAGATCGTCACTGATAACGGTTCCAGTTCACCTCGGGCACATTTGAAGATTTCTGCGCGAAATGGAAAATTCGGCTAAGCAAATCGACTCCACGGTACCCACAAGGTAACGGACAAGCCGAAGCAACGAACAAGACGATTCTCGACGGTCTCATGAAGCGCCTCGATGCAAAGAAGAGCGCCTGGGCAGACGAACTCGACGGAGTGTTGTGGTCGCACAGGACCTCGCCGCGACGATCGACAAACATGACCCCTTTCAACCTATCACATGGAATGGAGGCCATGTCGCCAGCCAAAGTAGGAATCTCATCCCTTCGACACACAATGATGGTTCGAAACGAGGCGCTGAATGACGAACTCATGAAGGATCACTTTGACCTACTGGAAGGGGATCGGGACCAGGCGTTGCTGAGAATTCAGAACTATCAACAACTCGCGGCATGGTACTACAACAAAAAGGTTCGAGGACGGCATTTCACGAAGGCGACCTCGTGCTTCGCAAAGTTTTCGAAAACACACGCGAACCAGACGTAGGAAAACTCGGCGCCGGATGGGAAGGACCATATATCATATCCAAAGTTGTCAAACCAGGAGTTTTTGGGCTGACAACAATGGCGGGCGAAGCAATCCCAAGGTCGTGGAACGTAATGCACATCAAGAGATACTACTATTAAGGATATCGGTCTCCCCTCGACCTCCCTTCGACAAAAATGTATGTATGTAATGAGAACTACGGTCGTCTTGATCCCGCACTTGGGTACGTAGACAGCCTTGTCGGAGGTCCAGCTATGGCAAGAATCTATATATATAAAAAAAAGGAGGGAGGGAAGAACGACGAACTGCGTCGCCTCCGCAACCTGACGCCGAAGCACCGCCCTTACGACTCGACGACCTAAAAATGCCGACCCAACAACCCGACACCATGACATCACCTCAACAGACCGACAACAGATCGGCGCGTGACATCACCCTGTCTACTTCAGCAACCTATATATATATATAAACATGTTTAAACGATCCCCAAGGTCACTTATGTAATGCGAACTACGATCGGCTTAATCCCCGTATAGGGGTACGTAAGCAGCCTTTTTCAAAGGTCCAGCTATTATTCAATAAAAATCATATTAAGATGACAATCTGTCTTCCGCTTTCAACGCAACCCGAGTGCCAAAACACATTGACACCCTGGCCAGGTGATCAATTCTCTAAGAAGAAAAATGCGTCTTCCAGTGATGCAGTGGTGAAATAATCCACACCTTTGATACTAAATTTTTTTAGTTCATCGGCGCGTAAGCCGGGCCCAGTCCCGCAAAATCTAAACGGGACAAGCCGAGCCCAGCCTCGCACCCAGATTCAACAAAGCCAGGTTCCGACCTGCATAAAGAGATTGAAACGAACAAGTAAACCGACCACTTCGTATGTTGCGATTTCAATCTCGGAAAATAATAACACCATAAAATCAAAGAAGAAAGTAAAGGATCTGCTTTTTAACATAACAAAAGCATCAAGGTCTCAGCATAACAGAAGGGGATCACCGCAAAATAACGATAAAATGACTAAGGCAGAGGATCATCAACCCCAATAATCCAAAAGATACGAAGAAGGAGTCCAACAAGGTTCAAACGAAGTAAAAAAAAATGGAAGTGCGAGTACAAGTCTGCGAATATAAAAAAAACGACAAAGTGGAGACAGCGGTGCAACACCGATAAACGAGAAATAACTACGGCCCCTTCATACTGGGGGACCGAAGAGAGGAGATGTCCGTGGAAGCAAGGCCCACCGACATACTCCCGTACTGATCCGCCGAGGCCTCCACCGGCGAAGGAGAAGTCAAGAGCGCTATCCAGTCGCTAACCGAACCCACCACGAAGTCGTTATCCTGAATGTCTTCAACCCCCAACTCCAACGCCTTCTCCTTGGCAGAATCCCTCTCGCCTTCCAACCTGGCCATCGTGCCCTCGGGGAGGAGAGTCTTATCACTCACCAACGAAGTAAATGCGTCGAAAACACCTGAAGCCAAAGGACACACATGTACGTCAAACAATGAAACAAAACTGCGATGATAAGTACCGAGCATAATGCAAAGCTATAAGGATTACCTGAAGCCATCGTATAGGCGGAAACAGCAGTATGAACCGCCTCGTTGCTCTTGTTGAACCGCTCGAACTTTCCCACCTTGTCGCGATACTCTGGAATAACCAAGTTGAGGACGCGTCTCCTTTTGAACACCGTGGCATCGTCTCTCTCCTTCCTGATCCTAGCCAGATCCGACTTCAGGTCACGATAATGATTCACGGCAACCGTTCGCTGAGCCCCTTTGGTATTCCAAACCACACTCGATATCTCTTCGAAGAAACGAAGACTCATATCAACGCCACACGACTCCGCCACTATAATCGCCCCAATCATGTTTCGGATCACACCCGGACAGAGCTGAGTCAATGCAATCTCCCTAGACTCGCAATAATCCAACAAAATCTTCGGCAGCAAAAACCATAACTGACAATGCTCGAACCAAAACTCGTAGAGGCAGATCCAACCCGGAGGAGGGGTCCAAGGACGCTCGTTCGCACCAGGAACTCTAAACTCTAGATCGGAAACCCCACAAGTATACCGAATATCCTCCAAAGACTGCGCCGACGACTTAGAACGAGGAAACTCGTCGCCCGAAGACAGTAAGGGAGACCTAGACTCCGCGGACCCTGCGTCAGGACGAGCCAAAACGACGAGCTCACTACTAGCATCGCCGACGTAACCGGTCACCCTGCTCGCCATAGGAGTATCAATATCCGCGGCAGAACCACCCAGACTCGATCTTGTCCCAGCCGAGGAAGATGGCGATCCGGAACCTGTAGAAGACGTCGAGTCTATACTCCCCAGAGGCGAGGGCAGCCTTGATCCATTTGGAAGAATTGTAACCATATCTGGTCGCTCCAAAGTCCGCGGCTGAACACCTCTCGGAAGATACATCCTCCCCATCTGAAAAAAGAATAGAGCAACCAAGTTTTTTTTTTTTTAAGAAAAGGAGGAATGGCCTACCTAGGATTTGGCCTACCTAAAATCATCTACCGAAAAATTTCACCTACCTAGATAACTGGCCTACCTAAAATCGTCCACCGAAAAACCTGGCCTACCTAAAAATCTTTGCCTACCTAAAAATCCTTGCCTACCTAAAAAATCTCTGCCTACCTAAAAATCTTTGCCTACCTAAAAATCCCTGTCTACCTAAAAATCCTTGCCTACCTAAAAATCCTTGCCTACGTAAAAATCTTTGTCTACCTAAAACCAGCTACTCGAAAGAGTCGGCCTATCCAAAAATTCCACCACCAAAGATCAAGATAGCTACTTTACAAAGAATAAAAATGGCCGGCCTGAGATATATGCCGAGCCATCAAGGAGACAGAAACACCGACCTTCCCGAATTAAGCAATGGCCGACCTAAAGTCAAATGCCGGGAGCCGACCTGCAAACAAGAAAGAACGAAGGAATGAGATGCTGTCAATAACAGGCCAACCTCTAATCGAACCAAAAAACGGCCGACCTAAGAATATGGCCGAAAGAGATGGCCGACCCTACATTAATTGGCCGAACATAAATTACCAAGATAAAATACCGATCTACCTCAACTAGACGATCTACATCAAACTAGCCTCAACGTTATCAAAACAAACTGATCCTAAATACGACGATTAATAAAAGCATGAATAAGAGAAGTATGCCGTCCTGTGGAGAAAGTCCAACCCACGATTAAAGATGCCGAGCTGCGATGAATCAATGGTGCCGACCTGCAGATAAAGAAGAAAGCCGACCTGTCAATTAACCAAGACTCAAAGAAGCCAATCTCAGACTCAGCAACGAAAGGTCATAACCGACCCAAATAGTGACAGAAATGCCGATCTTAAAACGAGGGAGGCCGACCTCAATCAAAGAGATGATATATGACCAGCAGAATATAACAGGCGGCCGACCTGCAAAATCAGTAGTTCTCCCCGCAACTAAGGGATCCGACCCCTGTCTTCCCAGAAAGGATGCCGACCGTCTCTCCAATTGACAAATCACGTAAAACAAATCAACAGTACAGCGACGACCGAAAGCCAAGAACAACACCGATCGAGTCACGCAAAAGTCACGATAGACCCAGCTCCTGCCGACACGAGATAATCGCTCAGATGCACAACAAAAACAGATCCGACTAATGGACGACCTTCGCTAGATGAGCATTGCGCTGAATCTTGAAAACCGACCAAGTCAGCGGCGATGAGCAGTCGAATCAATCAGAGCCAAAGAGAAGTAGTCGGAGAACCAGCCGCGATGAGCAAACCCCAAAATTCCAAAAACAGTGCAAAGAAATCCCACAAACCCTCTCGGCGGCCGCAATTTTTTGACCCAAACCAACAGCAAGGAATAAAAAAAAAGGAAGAAAGGGAATAATTTTTTCTTTACCTTGGCAACGGACAACAGTGTGGAGACAAAGAGAAGAAAATGAGGAAGGAGGAAGTATTTATAGATAAGAAGGGAAAGGCATCAACTTGACCTAAAGCAACGATTGGGGCCCGTGCTGACACCAGCAATTCCGTACAACTTCCGTACAGGACCCATTTTTAGGCCGACCGTGATTAAAGTCGAATCAACAATTCACGAAGAATCTGTTGACTTAAAATTCATTTTTTCGTCAAACGGACTGGGGGAGACTTACTGTTGGTACTGGGCCTGGTCAAGGCCCATTTAATCAGCTCGGCCCAAGATCATCTCGACCCAAGGAGAAGAAGCAATTTTTGACCAGATTCAAGGCTAAAGCCCAGCAGAGTCAGGTCGGCCCAAATACGTAAAAAAAGGCTGGACGAAGCCCATTCTTCTAGAAAGCCCGTGAAGCCCATCAAAGTCACCGTCCTAATTCCCTATAAATAGGACTGTACCCCGTACGAAAAATACATTATTGATTCTGGATTTTACGGAATTAAGCTTTAATTGCGCTTTGTAATAGCTACTCCTTTTTTGGAGGTCGGCTTTCGTGTTATAACTTTTCGTTCGGGATCCCAGTTTTTGGGAACCCTCTTTTCAGTACTTTGGTCAGTCTTGTTCTATATTCTATCGATTTTCGTTATCAATAAATACAAATTATCCAAGATTGAATCTAAGGTTCACCAATTTTAAAATTTTATAATAAACTTTAGTTTCATTCCTGAAATAATCCAGGTAATATTATTTTTATGTGTTTGTCTTCCAATGTTTTAACAAATTTGTTTTAAAAAAATCAGAACATTCTACCTCCCTAAATATGAGTTCATTTGCTTAAGACTCTGCGTTTGTTTCGACCAAACGGGTTCATGAACCACTCCAGTTTGCTGCAAACAAGAAAGTATCCAATCGTCAAACAAGAAAGTACCCATAGTCACCTTGCATGTACTTTAGATTTGATGATCCATCTTCGTCTGTTGTCCCAAGTGATGACATAGCAATCCAGTCCATAAAGATATCCGTTGGCAATCAAGCGAAGGACAAGAGCTTGTAGCTCTTGTAGAAACTTAACCAGAAAGGAAACGTGTCCTGGAATCCATTGTTTCCCACGTTTAGAACTTCAAGAGTGGAGAAAAATATCAGCGTTCTTGGAAGTTTCCCCACAAGCTGGTTTTGGCTAACGTCAAGTGATCTTAGACTGTGAAATATTGTTCCGCGAAGACTTCCATTAAGACAGTTCCGACCAAGATTTAGAACTGTAAGAGTACTCTTAAGTTTTTCCATGCAAATAGGTATTGTGCCCTCGAAGTTGTTTAGAGAGCTCAAAGCACATACGAAAGATGGAATCTCCCCGGAGAAATAGTTTTTGGAGCTTAACAAATACTTCATAAATGTTGAAAACACTCCAGGTTTCTTGGATTGATCTTCAAAACCAATGAAAAAGTTGTTTGCAAGATCCAACTGCATCAAATTCGTTAACGTCCATAGAAGGCACTTGACCTTTTATTTTGTTGTTGGAGAAGTCTAAGGAAGCTATGCTTTGGTGCCTTCCTATGAACTCTGGAACCACTGTGATAATACATGCTGACAATGATAACGTTGTCAATAATGGCGATGGAAGATCAAATATTGAACGAAATGGGACAGGGTTGCTTGAGAAGTTATATGAAGATCTCTCAGAACTGATGGCAATGTTGTTGGAAGGTCAATGAATCTCAGCTCTGGTAGATTCCATAACCAGTTTGGCACTTAATCTTTGATACTGTTGTTGGATAGGTCTAAAGTAGCAAGATTCTTCTGGTGTTTGATGAACTCCGGGAACTCTTTGATGCTGCAGCTTGACAACCTCAAAATAAATATCATTGATTGCGATGGAGGATCTGAAACTGAAGTCTTGTTTGCGTCTGAACCTTGGTTGCCCAAGAGAACCAGTTGAGAGAACGAACTTAGACATGATAAGACTTCATTCAAGTCGATCAAAGTGGTGTTCATATGGGAGAGATCAAGATCTTTAAGTGACTTGAGATGCGAGAAGCTACATAGGTCAAATGTGTTTTTCTGTGTTGAGATTGGAAATAGATTTTGGGATTGGCCCTTTGAAGTTGTTGTTGCAAATGTATAAGCTTTCTAGCTTAGATGGTGAAGAGAGATTCCCAAACTCAAGAAGGCCATTTAGTTGGTTACTAGTCAAAAGTCAAATTAGGAATGTTGAAGAGAGAAGAAGGAAGGTTTTCCAGTGAAAGCATTTCAAACTGCAGAAAACTGCGTCAACTTGGAAAGTGAGCTCAAGTTTGAGAGATTTTGAGAGAGTTCTAAAATAGTCAACTCTGTCAAATTCAGTACCGCTAAGCTTGTTGTTCATTACACGTAAAGTGGTCAACTGGTCCAAATTGGCAAAAGAAGATGGGATTTCCCCGTAAAATTGATTATCACAAAGGTTGATGATGGCTAACGTAAAAGGTTTCCAAATGAAGACGGTATCGTTCCACTGAAATTATTAGAAGAAAGCAGGAAGTTTGGTGACTTGAGAAAGGTTTCCAATTGAAGAAGGAATCAAACCACTAAAACGTTATATGAAAGTTCGAAAGTAGTGAGATTAGAAAGGTATCCGATTGAAGAAGGAATCAAACCGTTGAAATGATTATGAGAAAGCTCGCGAGTGGTGAGAGAAGAAACGTTTCCAATTGAAGACGGGATCTTTCCAGAGAATTCACAGTACTCAAGTCTCAAAACATTCAGATGTCTGAGGTTACCAACAGGATAAGGAATGTTACCGGAAAGAGATGTGATAGAGAGGTCTAAGATTACAAGAGAGTTGTTTTTATGAAAGTCTGGAAGAGAGCCTTCCAGGTTTTGGTACCAAAACACAATAATGGACTGTAACGCAGGGAGCAAGAAAAAGATCTTGTGGAACTTGACCTAATAAACCGGAACTGGCAATATATAAAGATATGAGAGAGGATAAGTTTGAGATATTTTGAGGGATTTCTGAAGAAATGTTAACCATGTTAAGGTTTAACTCCAGATTTGTTAGATTATGAACAAATTTTCTAGAAAACGCCTTTTTAAAGGATAAAAGAAAATTATAAGAAAGATCAACTTGGTAAGTTGAAGAAACTCTGCTGGGATTTGACCAGAGAAAGAAGACAAAGAGAGGTTGAGTCGTGTTAGCTCCATGAGTTTATTGAACTGAGTTGGCATGAGAGAAGAGTTGAAATTGTTGTAAGCAAGATTTAGGGAACTATTGGAATTGAAGCGACCATAGAAGCAGCAGCTCGCATTTAGCTCAATCACTTCCCCGGACTTGGCATCACATGTGATACCTTCCCAAGAGCAACAAACCTCTTATTTACCCCAATGCTTTGCACTACACAGATCAACCGAATAAACCGAACAGAAATGCTCAGGAACGGTTTGAAATTCATTCTTGAAATCAAGAAGAAGATCCCTTTGGTTGGAATGACACAAAGGACTAGTAGTAGGAGCTGCAGCAAAAGTGTTTAGAAAAATTGAAATGAAGAAGAGAATCATACTCGTTGAATACAAAGACCTATTCATCTTCTTTAAGTATTCGTACAAAGTAAAATGGTTTTTTGTCATGGCAATATAGTTTCCTGCTAATTTCTTTATATAGACACACCACAAAGAACAGTACCAACTTGGCTCACTATTTACACTCTCTCTATGCTCTACATTCAATGCGAAATGTTATTTAAAAAAAAAATCAATATGATTGGATTTAACGAAATGCTATATGCAGTAAATGGAATACAAAAAATGTAAACATTAATATTAATTACAAAGACAAACGTTGACTCGGTATATCAAAATTTGGTGGGAAGAGTAAATATAATAAAAGAATGTTGCAGCTGATGATTTTGACTCATTTTTTCGTGAGCTTAGAAATGAATAGTTTGACCTAAAAAAAAAAAAAGAAATGAATAGTTTGTGTATAAAAAACTCGGTTTAATGTCCAAAAAACGACAATACATTAAGAGCACGAGCATTTGAGAATTTTACTAAGATTTTAAAGAAAAAAAAAAAGAAAAAAAAAATGACATGGGAAGATGAAAAGGCAGAGTCGACTCTCTGCACAGGGGCGGAAGAAGCGTCTTTCTGCCACGTGGCGAAATCTAATTTATCAAAAAAAAAAATTCCTTTTTCTTAAAAAAAAAAAATAATTTTTTTAATAATAAAAAATATATTAAGCGTTTTGAGAACAGTATCACCATACTGATGCTCTAACACATGTCCAACATCTGTTTTGCTAAATGTTGCAAAAACAGCAATTCACATTTTGTATTTTTTTTAAAGGTATTTTTTTTTTTGCTTTATATAATTGTTCACGTCCTAGCTGCATGATTGCTATATGCTTTTACATTGGTTTCACCCAATTGAAGAATTCAGGGCCCACTCTGTCCACTACTAGTCTATATGAACACTTCTTCTCTTCTCTTCACGCACCAAAGATTCATCAGAACTCCTAGATCATCCTATCTTTGTTCACTCTCTCTCATCACCTAAGAAAAAAACCCTACCGCGAGTCCTAAGTCTCCACCTATAATGCAAACATCAGCCAACATTTTCAGCCTCCACGGTTGCCCACCTTCACACCTTCCCTATTTCCCTACAGTTTCCTCACCATTTCGTGCCAACGGACAAATCCCTGATTCATTCTACAGCTTCCAAAGTGGTGTAAATACTCCACAGTTCATAACCATTAATAACTCGACCTCGGATGAAGGAGAAAAGAATCAAAGGGATATAATGAATGAGAGAAAGCAGAGAAAGAAAGTATCCAATAGAGAATCAGCGAGAAGATCGCGAATGAGGAAGCAGAGACAGCTTGATGAGCTTTTGTCACAAGTGATGTGGCTTAGGAATGAGAACCATCAGTTGCTTATAAAGATTAACCGCGTCTTGGAGTCTCGTGAGAAGGTTATTGAAGAGAATGTTCATCTCAAAGACGAAACCTCTGAGCTTAAGCAAATGATTAGTGATATGCAGCTTCAGAATCAGAGCCCTTTTTCTTGTTTAAGGGATGACATTGTATAGATGATATTTCAATGGCTCTAGTACTGTATGTATTAATAGATGTATATATCCAGCCATCTATCTCAGATAATGACGATAAATTAGTAAATTAGTCATTTTGTTTTATAACAAAATTTTCCGAACCATTTGTTTTGCATTTAAACGATGGACAACGTTGTAGGCACGCCATTGTTGCGTTTGCATTTAGTACATGATAAAGTTTATAATAAACTACAATGACTAATTAGTTTAAATATTTTAAAACACGTAGAAAAAATTGAAAAAAAACAAAACAAAAACGAAGGGTGAAAGAAATCTGATTATTCTATTTTGTTTAAACTTTTTTAATCAAAAAAATATTTATTGTACATGTCGAAATCTAATCTATTAAATCAAATACATTGCAATCAATTTAATTTATAATCAACACATAAGCTGGTTTATAATTTACCTTATTATTACTTTTGAAAAAAGGAAACTAAGAAAAAACAAAAAACAAAGTTAAATATTTTTTTTTATAAGAATTAGTATTTGAATGTATATATTCAAAGATTGAAGTTAATTTTATTTATATTTGTTTTTATTTTCTTTTTCAAAATAAAAATATATTTTAATTTCCTTTTTGAAAGTTTTATTTAAGTTTTTAAAAATATATTTTAACCACAACATGTATTAAAATATGATCGATTAACTTGACACATATAGCAAATTTTGTTATTATTTTCCTTTTTTTGAAATATAAGCATATCTTCTTTTAATTTTTATTTTTTTTAAAAAAATTTTGTTACCAACATATTGTAATCAACACACATATCAAAATCTTATAATTTGTTATGTGTCACAATCATGTTAATTATTAACTTCAATACATCAAACTTTATAAGATAAGATATAAAATATTTTTAGTTTTTGGTAAATAATTTTTTAAACTTTGAATCTGAATTTTAGTTTTTTTCTTGCGTTTAACGTTTATTCAGGAAACCAAAAAATATTTAAAATGGCTAAAATTGTGTTTTTATTTGCCAAACAAAATGAATTACATTAAACATAAACGTACACACACAAAAATATAGGCCTTAGATGGTAATTAATATGAAACTTTTCCAAGTCTGGTTATATAACGCAAAAGCCAAAAGCTAAACTGCAAGTCTCCAGGCTCACCAAGTGCTTTGTCATGAACAATCATCATATTATTAACAAAGAAGCAACTTGGGCTGTGGTTGAGAGTTATGATAGTTGATTACCTTTTGTCATTTATGTGAATTTACTTTAATTATCCTTAATGAAATTAACAAATTAATATAATCTAATTTTTAATTGATTTTTGCTTTTTTAAATCTAGATTTCCAAATTCAAGTTTATATCATAAAAGTATACAGTTTACTAAAAAAAGTTAATTTGAATAAATAAAAAAATCTTAACTATTTCATTAAACTAATTTTAATTTGATTGTTTAACCTACTAATATTTTGACTAACCTAATTGATTTATGCGATCATAAGTCAAAATCTAAATTATTTAAACCCTTTTAAAACTCTATATATATATATATATTAATTAATGTTAAGTTGATATGAAACAAGGATCCTTTGGTTTTGGTCATTTTGGATTGCTATGTTTTTTTTTTAATGCAAACTTCGAATTTTATTAATCTTAATCTACCAATTTGCATCAAAAGAAGATAATTATTTATCATATTTGATAAATGCAACAAAATAACAAAGCATACTTATAAGTTTTTATCGGATAATATAAAAGATATTAAAAAATAAAATATAAATAATATATTTTGCTTTGTCACAAAAAAATAATATACTCATAAAAATTGTATTTTTTAAATATACTAAGTTTGGTTTCGAATCATTATAAAATCTGATTTTTTATCTAGTTATATTTTTTTTTAAAAATTAATCGAACTCCGCACAAAGTGCGGAGAAACACCTAGTTAATTAATATGTTGGTACAAACTTGATATTGGTAACTTGGTAGCGCATGGACTTAGAATATTATTTTGCATAATTTTTATTTACACTCTTATAGAGCAATAGTTTAGTTTACAAAGCAATATCGATTATGGATATTTATGTTGATCTTCTTTTGGATGCCGGTAAATATGTTAATCCTAATTAAATTAAAAAGCATGTAGCTAAAGAAGAGGCTGAGACACGTGACCACTGACCAGAGTTTGTGTTATCTGAGAGAATCTACCAATATACTCACTCAATCTAAGAAAGGAAGACAAACAAACAATCTTACGTAAGGAGACCCTTTTCAGTCAAGAAAACAAAGTGCTTTTCTCCAATTCGTGTGGCAAGAAACTTACGGGACAAGAAAACAAAGAGCGACCACTAAGAACGTAGGACATAACGTTAGTGGGTGAATGAAAGATATGTGTGATTGAAACAGACAGTGAAAGAAATAGCGACAGCTTTTCCAAACCAGAAAACACTTTATAGTCAAGACAGGAACGAAATATTTGCTTTTGTTTTTAATTTGTTTTTTTTTTTTATGTTCTAGATATAAACAGTTTGATCCCGTATATTAATATATCATTCTTTCTTTCACCTTGATTATTGTTTAAAGTTTCATCACAATCTCAGTCTATGTATGCAAGTGTGCGCGCTAGGGCTAGACGAAATAGTATAAATTATCTGATTTGGTTCGTTATCTTCTTTGAGTCGATTTAATTCAAAATATCCGGAAACACCAAAGTCGAAGAGGCAAAGCCAATACTGAACTTAAAACATAACCGATCACGAACAGAAGAATATCCTCTTTTTTTGTTGCCAGCTCTAGCGCACGTGTGTGTATGAAAAAGTTACTAAAAGTAGAATATATAGTTGGGACAAATATGTCTTTTTCTTTATCTCTGTTACTTTGTCGTACGGTGATTGGTTGTTCCATTCAAAAGGTCTGTCTTTTGACAATAACGTGTGAATTTTTTTAAGGGTGTTTCTATTGAAACCTATGAGTTTGATAAAAAATTAGATAAAAACCAAAAAAAATCGACACTACGTAGATAGAAGAGAGAAACAATTTTTAAACCAAAAATCATTTTTATGTAATTTAATTATAAAACTGTCATTGGTTTGAAAGTGCGTTGTTGACTTCAAGTAACACTATTCATTTTTTTCTCCGATAACACAGTTTACGACTTCTAAAAACACTGTTTATATTTGATTGGAAATACTATTTATATTAGTTAACACTGTTATTTATATAATTAGCATGTAAAACAAATTAATAAATTGTAAAACACTGTTCACCATTCGCTGGAAACACTGTTTATAATTCTTTTAGAAACACTGTTCGCAAAAGACGATATTGTTATTATGCGATTAGATGTTAGAGAAGTTAGCAAATTAGAAAGATAGCATGATAACTTTGTTGTGAATCATTAAAATTATAAAATTGCCATGTTAACTTAGTTATCATCTCTTATATTTATTATATTTATAAAGTTATCATATAATTAGAAATATGAAAAATATTAAATTTTATCATGTTAACTTGTAATTATCATAAAACTATGTGAATAACTTTGTTAACTTACCAAAACTATACGAAGTTATACCGATAATAATTTAACTAATTTTGTTAATGCTTAACTTTTACTTTCGCCATTTGTACATATTATTGTCACCATGGATAACCATGTTACTTTTATCATTGTTGTTGTTGTCATCGTTTTCGATATCATTACCACCATCTCTGTCATTACCATCACCACCATCTCTGTCATTACCATCACCACCGTCATTTCCACCAGACTATCATCACCAACCTGCATTTCCATCTCCACTTCTGCCTTCACCATACTTCACCGATCTTTACTCCTTTGTTATTTTTTGTTCCTTATTTTTTTTCTTCTTTTTTTCTCTTCCTCCTTCTTCTTCTTCCTTTTTCTTCCTTCTTCCTCTTTCTTATTGTATCAACAGAACATAATGAAGAGAGAAAAAAATAGAACTATAATTAATTAATAAAGAGAAGGAATCAATAGCGAGAGAGAAAAAATGACGGCAATTGAGATTTAATTTCTATATTATTTGATCCTATTGATTGGCATTTCTCTTTTCTTTGAGTTTGTAACATGTGGTTTTTTGGGAGTCAAGCAAGATAAAGATAAAAAAGCATTACATGGAAAAAATTAACATATAGACTTGCTAAGAGATTACACAATAATCACAAAATTAGAAGTTGTTGGCCAATACCTATCTTTCTCCTGGTCTCACAATTGTATTTTTTCTCAATATTACAAAAAATCTTACAAAAATAAATCATCAAATTTATAAATCACACAATTACTAACAACCACTAGATTACAATATCGAGTCTGACCAAAAAAGTTTATCTAGTAATATTTATATAACTATACTAGGCATACTAAACTCTACGTAGATAGAGAAAACAACTTCATAAACGAAAAAACAATTGTAATCTGACGTTGGGAACGACTGTTTTCACCTCCACCTACTGAAAAGGAAGGCTTCTTGGAGGTCCCAAGTTCGAACGCCATGATGAGGAAGGAACCGATAACCAATTAACATAGTCAGCTTCAGTCTTTAGCTACTTGTGTCATCTGTGACATATAGATGATTGTCTAATATTTGTCGATGTTTAATGTTATGCAGTTACATTATCTATGTTTGCGACCTCCATTATTTCAGGTAGATCGGATTTGTTTGGATTTCAAGTATATCGATATTGGAGATTTACGTCTTATTCGAATATTTTTCTTTTTTCTTTCGATTTTGGTATACCTTAATTATCTAAAATTTATTTAAAATATATACAAAATTTAAATATTGCAGATTGGTTATTTCAATCTAATCATAACTAATACTTGTTATGAAATAATAAACTTTTCTATGTAATGAACTATGGTATTGATTGGTGTATTAGAAAAATAAAACAATTAAAGAAATTAACTTATATTCAGAGAGAGAGAGAGAGAGTAGTTAAGAGTGTGGAAACGATTTTTTTAAAAAACTTGTTAATTATTTTCATTCATAACAAACTTA